GAAATTCTGAGAAATCCATATCTGCAGACGAATGATCGTTGAATATATGTCGTAAATTTGTATCATCTTGTTTCAGTATTATTAAAAAGTTTGCGTTATCTCTTACAAGCTGTTTTGATATTTTAGAATATGTCTGTGCTAAATAAAATACGGAGCTGGCACCTGAATGCCTACCAATGCTAAAGTATTCTCTGATTACAGATTGTGGGCCGCACATCACATCATCAAAAATTATAATAGAATTTTTCTTCGTTAAGTTTGGTTTTATAACCTTATCAGCGCTTGTAAATATGAAAAAATTAGCACCTTTTATATCATCTATTATTTTTTTCAATAAAACATATTTTTCCTGATTAGAGGTTTTCGAGTATAAATAAATATTTTCAAATCTTAACCCGTTTGCATGTGTGATCAGATTATACATTATATTTGTTTTTCCTGAGCCACTGGGACCAACTAGTATAGCACGTATAGTATCGGGTAATAACGAACCATGTCGTGAAGGTTTTTTTACTACCTGAACATCTACATTTGTAACATCCAATTTATCTTTCTGTTCTATCAAATCCATATTATTTTCTTATAAATACTCTAGAATTTTCCAATTTATAGTCAGTTATAGATGGCGGGTTCAACTCGTAAGTACAATTCAAACAAGACTGGTAAAGGATTTGTAAACTCCCTTATAAATAGTCTCCCGTTCGAAGCCCATGTTTCAGGATATCAGTATTGTGGTCCTGGTACGAAATTAAAAAAGAGACTAGATCGTGGTGATAAAGGAATAAACCCATTGGATGCTGCTTGTCGTGATCACGATATTGTGTATGCAACGAGTAAGAATTTAGACGATAGACATAAAGCTGATAAAGTGTTAGAAAATCGTGCTTGGGAAAGATTTAAAGCAAAAGATACACCTAGAAAAGAGAAATTAGTTGCGTACGCAGTAACAAACGCAATGAAAGCTAAAAGAAAAATAGGTATGGGTTGTAAACGGAAAAGTGCTATAAAAACAAATGGTATACTAGCAGCGAAGAAAAAAAGAATCTTAAAGAAAAAGAATGGCGGTAAAAGACTGATTTTAGCACCGAGACAGTCAGGAGGTGTAATTCCCTTAATACCTATATTTGCGGGATTGTCAGCACTTGGTAGTTTGATGTCTGGAGGTGCTAGTGTGTATAATGCGGTTCAAAATTCAAAAAGAAAAAAAGGTAGCGGTTTGAAATCAAACAAGAATAGGTTAAGAAAAAAAAACTGATGATCACGCTACCTGACAGACCGCTTTCGTCTCAAGATATTATAAAATATACTGGAAAGTTGAAAATCAATCATTTCCGTGGAGTCTTTTCACGTGATAACTTACCTAAAAAACCGAACGCTATTGAATGTGGTATATTAAACTTGGATATATCTTCAGGCGATGGAAGCCATTGGGTAGCGTTTTATAAAAATAAGGACAAAGTTGTATATTTTGATAGCTTTGGTGATTTACCCCCACCAATTGAATTACAACATTATTTCAGACAGTTCAAAATAGTATATAACTATTCCAACTATCAAGACTTCAATACATTTAACTGTGGTCATTTATGTCTTGAATTTTTACAATGCATGAATCTATTACATTAAGTTTGACTGGAAATTCAACTGTATTATCTGTAAATTATTTTCCACCTATAAACCTTTACGATGACTCAGAAATAGCTTTGTTATGTTTACAGTCATTTAATTCATTCCCAAATATTAATGAAAATAATAATAAATTTTCTATACAAGTAGTTGATAATGAAAACAATAATAATCCTATGATATGTTTTATTACATTGGAAGAGGGTTGTTATGAAATTGAAGATATTAAGGATCGAGTTAAGAAGCAAATAGTTGCCTATAATAGTAAAAACTTGACCAATTTAACATTCGACATTACGGTTGATCCTGATGATTTCAGATCGTATATAAAATGTAATGGGATACTACACTTTGAATATCCATTTAGTATAGCACCTGTATTCGGTTTTGAAAAACGAGTATATAATCCATACAACATTCTTCGATCGGAAAAAGCTGTAAATTTAAACACAATTAATTCTATAAAAGTAATGTGTAATATAGCTCAAGGATCATTCAGCAACCATCTTCAGAGTCATTCGATTTATGAGTTTTTCCCGAGTGGAAAGACAGGGTCGAAAGTAATTCAGGCACCGCCAAATTTAATATATTACAAATTGAATAAAACAAATATTGATTCGATAACCGTTCAGTTAGTTGATCAAGATCATAATCCGATTGATAATTTTGGTGAGGCATTGACAATCGTGTTACATATTAAACGTTACGGGTCTTGAGATGGGGTTGAAATTCAATATAAACCCGCTACTTCGGATCAGCACAACTAGTCATAAGACTAAAGTGCTACCAGCAACATCAAATAAGATAAAAAAATTAACGGTAAAAAATAAAAAAATTTTACAAGCTCTGGGTTATCAATTAAAGCAGAATGCCTGAGAGTGATATTTTAGATATAACTTCACAGTACGAAACGGATTCTAAAATTACGAAAATTGAATATCATTCATACACACCGTATACTACATCATTTAATAATAATGATGAAATACGTATATCAATCCAGCAAACGGATGTCTACCCATATCTACACGAAAGCTTTATTTTTTTGGAAGGAACAATTACTGATGCTACCAAAGTGAAACTATCTAATAACGGTTACTCTTACCTCTTCGAACTAATACGATTGGAAATCAATGGGATAGAAGTAGATAGCACACGTGTTCTTGGAATCACCAGCTCGTTGAAAGGTTACTTATCCGGTACGCCAGATAACTACAATTGTTATGAAAATGCTGGCTGGAATTTTAAAAACGCAACGCAATCGGAAAATGAAAAAGGTGAATTTAGTGCTTGCATACCATTGAAATATTGGTCAGGATTGTTTGAAGACTATAAAAGAATATTAGTGAATTCTAGATTGGAATTAATATTGACCCGAAGTCATAGTGATTTAAATGCTTTACAAGTTAAAAGTGGTGCAACTGCTACTGAAGGTAAAATCACCTTAAATAAAATAGTCTGGAAGGTCCCACATATAACGGTCGACGATGAAGAAAGGTTGAAATTATTGAAACTTATAGAAAAAGAAAAAAGTCTATTTATCCCTTTTAGATCTTTTGAAACTTTTGAATATCCTGAACTCGGAACCACTAAAAAAGTTGTATGGAATTTGAAAACTGCTTCAAAATTAGAAAAACCGCGATTTATCATAATTGGATTACAAAAAGGACGCAAAAATTTGCTAACAAAAGATTGTAGTATATTTGATCATTGTAATTTAACAAACGTTAAAGTATTTCTGAACTCTATAGCTTATCCATACGATAATTTGAATTTAGATTTTACTAAAAATAACTTCACCTTATTATATAATATGTATACATCGTTTCAAGAATCGTACTATGAAAAAAGTATTCGCAACCCGATATTGAGTCCTTCTACTTTTCTGACGAACGCTCCAATTATAGTTATCGATACTTCGAAACAAAACGATTCAGCCACAGCCTCAGCAGTGGATGTTCAATTGGAAATTGAAGCTTCAGAATCGTTCACAGGTGTGACTGCTTACTGTTTCTTAATTCATGATCGTATTGTAGAATATGTACCTTTTACTAGAGAAGTAAGAAAACTTGTGTAAATATTATTAAGAATTTATTTGTAACAATAAAAAAAACTATGATTTAATAATTTGTGTTTTTTCTTGAAATAATTATTTTAGTTTTAAAAATTGGTAAATGTTAAATATTTTTTGTGTGAGACGAAATTTGGTAGTCAATCAGTGTGAAATTGTGTTACACGGTAAATCTGAGTGCTCCAAGGGGACATTCTCCCCTTGAACTTTTTTTTTTTCCCTGGAAAAGCTGGCTGTGAACATACAAATATATACTACTGACACGTATGCACTACCTACTCCTTGAAATTGTACATAATATTTTTTATTTGTTTTTATAATATTGTTCATTAACCATTATTTATTTATTTCATTATTTTTCACTATCTGTCATTCAGCGAAAACCCCATTTCAATACAAGGTCATCGAACTGATATATTTAGTGGATCTTAGCATGATTGTAGTAGCGTGAATTATGGTAGGTACCTCTTAGCGCGAACACACACTGTATATCGGTTCATTTTGACAAAATATACACTATTGATATACCTACAGACCTACTTGAAATATAATATATAAGATATATTAAAGATATATATTATTATATCATTAATCGTACTTCGAGAGACAAGAATCGAGGCAGCTGCAGTGATACTTTTTAGTTTTTACAATGATAATCGGTAAATTTAGTTCGTTAAAGTCCGCTTTTAGTTATCGTGTCTGCACTCTGCAGTCTGCAGCGCGATACGTGCGGCACTATAATAACGTCAAGCATAATATTATCATAGAACAGTATATTATATTGTCACCACGGACTAAGATAGTCCGTGATTATCACTCATGGCATCATTTTCGTTATGCGCCAATACCTAGGTACCTATAATGAATGATCTAACCGTCAAAAAATAAACAATAACGGCCTTATCATATATGATTATGAACATACGGGACATGGATGCTGGATTCAGTTGTAAGTTATTAAATGACTGATGGCGTTGACGTTGACTGATGGTCGCGGACGTCATTGGTCATTATATTTTCTTATCGAAAATCGAAAATCGCAAATGAAATTAACCTTGTTTGGCCTAACCTATAGATAAATTATGGTTGTTGTGATATTTTGGATGCCGTGTCATTGTCATAGCTAGGTAGTACTTAAAGTTTATAATATTAAAATATATAGTTTACTCATATTATAATTTGTTGTGACTTGTGGTGCCGTGATATTCGTTTTTCGTATAAGATTAGTAAAGCAAGCGGAATCGTAAGTTACATTCATATATTTGTCACTATACCTACCTATTCCTTATTTCCTTCATAAAATATGTTAAGACAAAATTGTTTGAGTAAATCCACTAAACGTAGAAGAATACTTGATGAGATTAATTTAATTAAACGTTCGCTTACAGATGACGTGTCTTCCCCACAATTAGTAGCTAACATTGTTGATCTTTCACCTGAAATTAGCAATAGTCCTAATGATATAACTTTTCAGGATACTGCAGATACGGTAAATAATTTACAATTTGAACCTTCTTGTTCTAATACAAGTTTTGACGTTGAAGCAAATAACAGTAGTGTATTTTTAAGACCTGAAAATACTGATGCTTCAGATAGTGACCTGGATCGTATTTCATCTTTGAAACAATCGATTCCTGAGAATTTGTATCAAAGGGCTTCTGAAAATAATGTACCCAATAGTACATTTGATAAATTGTTGAACATTTTGAAAGGTCATAAATGTTTTCAAGATCTTCCAATTACAAGCAGAACTTTCTATAAGATGTATTCCAGTGTTTCGTACAATAAACCTGTTGAAATGAAAAGTGTTTCTCCTGGGTATTATTATCATTTCGGGGTGGCTCATAACATTAAACAATATTTAGATAAATATTTTTCTGATGAAACAATTAAATTAGTCATTGGAATAGACGGCCTACCATTAGCCAAGAGTTCAGGTAGTTGTTTTTGGCCGATTCTAGGTTATATAAGACAAAAAAATCAAACTGTTTTTCCTATTGGAATTTATTGGGGCCATAATAAACCTGGTGATAGTAACATTTATATAAAAGATTTTGTTGATGAAGTAATGTCCCTCATTCAAAATGGTATAGATGTAGACATTTTCAACAATAAAACTTTAACCAAAGTTCATAAAAATTTAGTTATTGATTGTTTTTGTTGTGATATGCCAGCTAAAGCATTTTTGCTTAAGACAAAATCACATACGGGATTTTTTTCATGCACTAGGACTAGGTGCACAGTTCAAGGTCAATATTTGTGTAGAAGAGTTTGTTTCCCTGATACAGAATGTCCTAGAAGAACTCATGATGATTTTGTTAATAAAATTCAACGACAATATCATAGTAGCTGTGATGACACAACAGAAATATTAAATATCCCTTCTCTTGATATAGTGAAGAATTTTAGTTTAGACTATATGCATGTTGTATGTCTTAATGCTATGAAAAAAATTATCATATCATGGAAAGGAGGAGATGGCTTAGGTAGAGATGTAAACAAACAAAAATTAAACCCTAATTTGATAAAGATAATGTCAGAAAGACTTTTGTCTTTAAAATATAAAATACCCAAATGATTTTGCAAGAAAACCAAGATCTTTAGAAGAATTACCAAGATGGAAAGCCACTGAGTTTAGGCTTTTTTATTATATATAGGGCCTATAGTTATTCAATCAATTGTGTCTAAACAATTATTATATGACCATTTTTTGTTTTTTTGTGGCAATGATTATCTTTTTAAGTCCTAATTACAATAATTTATCATCTATTGCTCAATCGCTAATGATCGATTTTGTTCAAAATTTGGAAACTTATATGGCAAACACTTTATTTCGGCTAATATACATGCTTTAATTCATTTGTTTGAAGATTATGATAATTATGGGTCCCTTGATACAGTAAGCTGTTTTAAATTTGAAAATTATATGAGCCGTTTAAAAAAGATGGTTCGAAAAAATGATAAACCTTTACAGCAAGTGGTGAGACGGTGTGAAGAACAATTTGTACCCAACATCTTAGTAGATAAAGTTGAAAATGAAAATGATTTAAACCAGAACTTTCAATTGTTGCATAGTGACGGTCCTCTAATAGATGGAACTTCTTCTCCTCAATATAAAATACTATTATTAGATCAAATTCAAATTAAAACCTATTCTGCTCCTAATTCATATGTTGGTTTGAAAATAGAAAATATATTTATAATTATTAAAATAGTAAATATTTGCTATAGTCAAGATCTACAGAAGTTGATTCTATTAGGAAGACAATTTGAAAAAATTGGTAGCTTTTTTTCCAAACCATTAAAAAGTGAACAATTAGGCATTTATAAATTAGAAAAATTCTCTAAGCAAGTAAAAATTTGGAATATTGAAAATGTGGTGACTAAATATATGATCCTAACAATTAACGACTTAAACGTTGCATATCCAATCATTCATTTTAATAACAACTATTAATACAGTCTTCTAAGTACCTACACCTAATATAGTATCTATTTTATTAACTTTTAAATATATTAAATCTAGTAGTATCCTTCAAGTATTAATTTTTTATTATTAAATAATTTTATTCTTATACATTAAATATATCAAATTTACCTTGATAGTGAAATTTATTTTATACATTTATTTCATAAAAAAGTTTGTTTTTGTTAGTTTTATTTCATAATAAATCTATTGTAACGTGGTCGGGGATGGCCCGTTAAATATAAGATATTCAGAGAAGAAATTAATTCTTTTGAATATATTTTTACCGTAGCTCGGGAGCACGAATGGTATTAGGATCTTAATATTACAAATAAATAACGATTGATCTAAATTATTATTAATATAAACAAATTATTTATTATAACTTACAATTTACGAACAAAGTTACCAAAAATGTAGGATTGTACGGAGTTCAGGTGCACGTGATGGACTCGCGGAGAACTGGTATTCTCTTACATAGGGATATTGGCCGGAGCCTTACAATCTTAAAATATATATGTGTCACCTAAACCGGAGGGGCTTAATATATTATTATAGTCAGCGCATAATATGCCTAATGTGCATATTATGATGCTTATAAAATAAACGTAATGATGTAACATACGTTACACTATTATATAGGTACTTTAATAGATGGAACTTCTTCTCCTCAATATAAAATTATTAGATCAAATTCAAATTAAAAGCAAATTAACGACTTATACGTTGCATATCCAATCATTCATTATAATAACAACTATTAATAAGTACATTCTTCTAAAGTTCTAAGTACTTATACCTAATATAGTAGTAGTACCTATTTTATTAACTTTTAATAAATTAAATCTAGTAGTATACTTCAAGTATTCATTTTTTATTATTAAATAATTTTATTCTTATATACATTGTATATTCTTAATATACATTATATTAAATTACTTTTTTTTTTGGAATATTGAAGATGTGGTGACTAAATACCTATATGATCCTAACAAATTACGATTTAAATGTTGCATATACAATCATTAATTTTAATAACAAGTAACAACTATTAATTGATTCTTCTATATATCTTCTTTTATATATAATCTATTATATATATCTTCTATTTATCTATTATATATAAGACATAAGTACTACAAATTCATAAGATTATTACGTATATTAATTTTAAAGCATATAGGTACCTATCAAACAATTAATTATATTAATTCAAGTTTTTTTATTTTGTATTTAAGTACTACCTGCTATTTCAATAGTTGCAATTATTAAGTTAAAAGACTGACATATATTAAATACCTGAAATGTGGACTATTGTTCACTTTATAACTGATGATTCGGTGGAGCCTGTTCCAACGTATTGGCTCAATCACAATAGCACTAAATGCGCATTGCCGAATAATGACTCATTAATTGCCAAGTATCGAGCAAATTAAACAAGGCCTAATGGATTTGATTTCTCATATTATGACTGTCGAGTACTTTCAACAAACATAATATGTAAGTTTAATTTATGTAAATAATTAAATGCATAATAATAGGTACCTACTTATTATATTATTAATTATTATCTTATTTATGTTTTGTTTATTTTTGTAGTATCATTTACTGATGCATTGGACAAAGCAAAACGTGGACTGTATGCATCCGATGTGGATGATATTGATGCACAAACAACCAGTAACAGACATAAAAAGTCAATTGCCACAGAAAAACTACAAAACAAGTTTGCAAAACCATCAGGTATAGTAGTTATAACTACACCTATTCTCCAAAAAAAAAACATATTAATGAAAAATAACTAGATAAAAAAATCATTGCTTTTAAAATTATTGCTATTATTGTTGTACATCATAGGCGCAATTTGGGTTAAATTTATGGAGGTGCTAGATTTATGTCCACTAAAGTGATCAGTGGTGGTTAATACACATTCGCATTAATCTTAATATAAATAATTTCCTAAAACATAATAAACTTCAATCTATATTATTATTCTGATAGGTACCTATGTATTATTACAAATTAATTATTATAAAAATGATAAGGTATTAGAAATAAATGTATCCAAATACCTGTGGCATAATATTATAGTCAATAAAAATTAGATGATGCTATCAACAATTTGGGGGTGCTAAGCACCCCCCCCCCCAAATTGCGCCTATGTTGTACATTCCAAATTCATAATATTAATTATACTGTTATACTGTATTGTAATTGAGTATAGTCAATCTACATCCTCAATTAATTATGACATTAATGCCAGTAATCAATATCCTCCAGAAGTTTGTAAGTCTAATAATTTAACCTGTAATATTTAATATAACTAAATGATAATATGTTTATATCACATATTATTTTGTTGTTTGTCTTAGCATCTATTATAATAGATACTGGGAATACTGGAAGTACTATAAATAATACTGGATTAAAAAGAAAATCAACTTTTGCTAAGACACCAAAAAATTCTTTAAAAAGACTGAACACAACATTATTAGATAGGTACATCAGATTTAAAAATATTAAAGAAACAAAACATCAATGAACAAAAAGATATATATATATATGAAAGATAAGGCTTCCAACAGTACGCCACCGTTAATTAATTGTAATGATGATGTTGATAACGATCAATGTTCTTCAGAGATTTGTAAGTCTATGTATATTTTAATAATGATATATTTATATTAATTACCATAATATTATGGATTAAGAAACACATAAGTAAAATCTATAATTATTATTTTTAATAGCATCAATTGATGATGATGATGATATAGCAGATAAAGATTACAATCCACTTACTACCAATCAAAATATTGATCTTGAATGTGGTTATGGCAATAATAATACATTTGATTTAGCAGGTATTAATTCTAATATTATTACAAATATATTTTATACCTGCATTTAAGTACAATATATGTATTATACAATTGTATAACATTCAATAAAATTAATAGGTAATACTGTAATTAGTATAGGTATTAGGCGTTGTATATTAAAATAATAATTTTTTTTAACTAATTTGGATGTTTGAAGTATAGTTTCCTCTTCAATAATATTTTTTCTAATAATTTTTCAGATATGATGGATGGTGTTGATAGTATAAATGGTAAATTAAGCATTTTTAATATATTTTTACAGTAATAATCTACAAAACTTTTACAATTTAAAAAAATGTATTTTATTTATTAGATTATGGCAATGATGTGTCGAATATTGCAGCTGATAATTTTATAACTACTTCAAAAAAGGTAACACCTACAATTAATAATGAACAAAAAAAAAAAATGAAACTCCAAATCCTAGTACGTTTAAAATGCCAATACAATTTCATTTTTATTTTTATGTTTATGATATTTAGTACAGATATTATGATTTTTTATTTTTTATTTTTAGTTGAGACTTCAAATTATTCTTGCACACTACAATCTTCATCACTAGTTACTGCAAATAATGAAAGTATATATACAATTGTACTTCTATATAATACTATATATAATTATTGTTATTATTTTTTTGAAAGTATTTTGTTTTTTCTATAGAATTTCAAAAAACTATTATAAACTATTTGGCTTTTTTAAAAGTGGAAATATGCAAGATCTCTAATAGACAAGAAGAACTATTTGAATTGTTAAATAATTATCAATATAGTAGACCTCTGACAGCAGCTGATGAACATAATTTTGAAATAGATTATTTTGTATCAAATTGGCCAATATCTGATATAAACGGAATTACTTATATGGAAGGAAAAATTAAATCAGATAATGCTTTTCAAAAACTAATTGTAAGATTTTTAATAATTATTTGTAGCAATATTTTATGTTAATGGCTATTGTTTTTTTTTTTTTATTTTTATAAGTGTGTGAATTAGCCAGAACTGGTGGAAAATCATTACTAAACATGATTTATAAAATTATGAAAGAGGTGTTTGCAGATCAAGTATTAACTGAATATACTTACTACGGACTAAGGAATAAATATAATTTTTCAGTTTTATCTATAAAAAAGCAATATTTGGTAATTTAATTAATCATATTTTTTTTTATCATAATATTATATAGTATTGTTTAAAAAACTTTTTCTGTTATATAGACACGTCTGGGTCCGGGATAGAATAGGCCCAGAGCAATCCCTGCTTGTCGTAAGAGGCGACCAAAAGGGTCTGGGGAAGGGCAGCAGCTTCCCCAGTATTGGATGTAGGTGGAGATCAAGGAGATCAAGGATGGCAGCCATCTAAAGAGTTACAAAACTGCGAGGTGGAAGGAAACGGGAAACCACCACATTATTATCCCTAGTATCTGCAGTTATGGATTGTGAACTCATTGTAAAAGATTCCGGACGTAAACTAGTCTCCCGTTCGGATGTCCGGGTGGAGACTACCTTGAGTAAAACAAAACAAAACTATAAAAGAGTAGGCACATGGAATGTAAGAACCTTGAGAAGAAGCGGAAAGTTTGAAAATTTAAAACTAGAAATGAGAAGGCTAAATATTGACATTATAGGGATAAGTGAAGTAAGATGGCCAGATCCCGGTGACTTTTGGAGTGATGAGTACAGATTCATTCATACAGGCTCGGAAAATGGACATACTGGGGTAGGCATCATCATGAATAAACAGTGTGGAGAAAGTGTGATCAGCTATTATCAATGTACAGATAGGATCATCATGGTTAAAATTAACACTAAACCTGCTATTACAACGATTATCCAAGTATACATGCCAACATCATCACACAATGACGAAGAAGTTGAAGAAACTTATGATAAAATAGATGAAGTAATGGCGATAACTAAAGCAGGGGAGAATGTTATAATCCTGGGCGACTGGAATGCAGCAGTAGGCGAAGGGAAAGAGAGTAACATAACGGGTAGTTATGGCTTGGGAACCAGAAATGAGAGAGGAGAACGACTAATACAGTTCTGTACACAACACAAATTGACAATTGCAAACACTTTTTTCCAACACCATAAAAGAAGATTATATACCTGGAAGAGGCCGGGAGATACTGCGAGATATCAAATCGATTACATTATTACTAAACAACGCTTTAAAAATCAAATTAAACAATGCAAAACCTATCCTGGTGCTGATATTGACAGCGATGACAATCTAATTATTATGGAAACAAATCTAAAGTACAAAAAAATTAAGAAAGGTGTTTTCACAAATAAATGGAATTTAGAAGTGTTTAAGAAAGATGAGAAGAGAATAGAATTTAAAGAGAAATGTAAGAAAGCATTAAACAACATACAAATTGAGAACTGTCAGTCGGAGGAAACTAAATGGGAAAATATTAAGGAAGTTCTAAAGATCCAGGCAGAGGAAGTATTAGGAACCCAAAAGAAAGAGCCGAGGAAGCCTTGGATGACAGACGAAATAGTTAAGCTAATAAATGAAAGAAGAAGGTATAAAAATCAAACTAACACTCAAGAACAACAACAATACAAAAGAATACGAAATGAAGTGCAAAGGAAGATAAAAAAAATCGAAAGAAAAATGGCTAGATGAGCAATGTAAGAGAATAGAAAATTTTTTAAAAAAGGAAGAAGTGACCTGGCGTTTTCAGAAACCAAAAAGCTTTTTCGTGAAAGAAACAAAACGCAGGAACCCTAGTAAACAAAAACGGCGAATTATTACTAGAAGCTGATCAAAGGGCTAAAAGATAGAAAGAATACCTGGAAGAATTATATGAGGATAATTCAACTATGATATTTGAGGAAGAAGATAATGTAGATGAGGATAATAAAGGTGATTATATCTTGCAGGCAGAATTTGATCATGCGATGGACTCCCTTAAAAACAATAAAGCGTATGGTGTAGATGAAATCCCAGCAGAGTTACTTACATACACAGACGTAGTTGTTAAAAAAGAACTGTACAAAATATGCAATGAAATATATTTAAAGGGAAGAACCATTAGTGATTTCGAGAAGGGTATTGTGGTACTGATTCCAAAAAAGAAAGGAACACTAAAATGTGAAGAGTACAGAACATTAAACCTCATCACACATGCCGCCAAAATTATCACCAGAATAATCAAAAACAGGATAGATAAAAAGATAGAAGAAAATCTGAGTAAAGATCAATTTGGATTCAGAAAAAACATAGGAACAAGGGAGGCAATTTTAACACTGACAGTACTAATTGAAAAACAAATTAGAAGAAACAAAGATATATTTATAGCCTTTGTCGATTTAGAGAAGACGTTTGATAATGTAAAGTGGAGTATATTATTCGATATTCTGAAATCAATTGGAATTAAGTATTACGACAGAAGATGCATTTATAATTTATACAAAAACCAAACTTTATTAATACGTATAGATGGAAAAGAAGAAATAGCAAAAATTAAAAAAGGGGTACGACAGGGCTGTAACCTATCACCCATGCTGCTTAATCTATATATTGAAGAAGTAATGAAAGAACTAAGAATAGAAGTAAAGCAAGGAGTTAGAATAGGTGGAGAAACAATTAACGCTCTGAGATTTGCTGATGACATCGCTTTCTGCGCAGAAACAGAAAATGACCTGCAAAATATTTTAACTAAGGTCAATAAAATATTAGGGGACAAATATGGAATGCGATTAAATAAAAAAAAGACAAAGGTTATTACGTGCAGCAAGACAAACCCTGCTCAACTTAATATATACATAGATAATGCACGCATAGAACAAGTACAACACTTTAATTATTTAGGAAGTAAAATAACAGAAGATGGCCGTAGTAAAGATGAAATTCTAAGTAGAATAGCGCAACCGAAGAGGGCTTTCCAGAATAAAAAACATCTACTAACCACCAATAGTATGGACTTAGAGGTAAGGAAAAGGTTCTTAAAAATATATATATGGAGTATTGCCTTATATGGCTGTGAAACCTGGACAATCAGTGCAACAGAGAAAAGAAAACTAGAGGCCTTCGAAATGTGGTGTTATCGTAAAATGTTAAGAATTAAATGGATTGATAGAATAACGAATGAAGCAGTACTAATTAGAATAAAAGAAAATAAAATACTATGGCATACCGTAAAAGTTAGAAGAGCTAAAATGATAGGACATCTACTACGCCATGAGAGTCTAACAAAAACTGTCATAGAAGGCGACGTTGAAAGCCATATAGGAAGAGGAAGACCAAGGATGGAGTATATGAAGCAATTAATGAGTGACATGGGGAAGAATAGTTATAAAAACCTAAAGGAATTGAGTAATGATAGGGAAGCATGGAGAACTGCAGCAAACCAATCTAAGGATTGAAGACTAAAAAAAAAAAAGAGGCGATTAAAAAGTCAAAATTCAAAAGCTGCTGTGATGATGAGGTAATTACTGCTATAGCAAAGTGGCTCACCAGTGCTAAAGGTAGGCTGGAGAAGAAAAACAAACAGTAATAATAGCATTGATACACTATTTCTATTTTTTATAAAAGATTTGTTTTTAATTTTATATTTTATTAATATGTTAACTTAAATTAATTAGGAGCGATAATGTTCCTGAATTATACTATAAGTTTTTTATTATTATTTTTTTTTTATTGTACGCTGCGGCAGCAAATATATTATATTAAATAGTTTTAATGAAGACATTATACTATTATTGGTATATTTTTCTTTGCATTTTGTATATTTTTTTTTTTTAAATTAGTTTCTTTTACTGCTTTCTTTTACATTTACGAAACATACTTTCAGTTAAAATTTTATTTGACATTATTTTATTATATAAAGTAAATCTTTAAATCAATAACTCATAAATGTTAACAATTATTAATTAATATAATAATTATTTGATGTTAATTTTGTAAAATGTTTAATAAATATATCTTCATTTGATTATATTATCTACTATTTATATACATTTTGGTTAATATCACATATTATTATATATTATATACATATATGTGTTGAAAATATCATTGAAAAATGTTCTACAGTTGCAGTTATGTTGTTGATATTTTACAGAATATATTTATAGGTATATATAGTAATATTTTTGTAAAAAAAACCAATATTATCTTATTCTTGGTTAATATTAATAATTAAAGTAATATTAATAGTAATAACTATTATATTATGTTAGAAATAATGAATAGATATCATAATTTGTATATACACCAGCTATGAAGTTTTGTTTCATAAGACATACATATAGTATCTAATAAATATCCAAAAACATTCTACAGTTATTTTTTTGATATCTTACCAATATATTTTGTAAAAAATCAATATTCATAAAATATTGGATAATTATACGTGAGATATCTCTTGGTTATTATAGTAGAAATATTTAATAGATATCTTAATTTGTATATACACCAGTTATGAACTTTTGATTCATAAGACATACATTCAATATCTCATCGATATCAAAAAATTTTTAGGAAAATTGAAAACTTATCTGACTGCTCTGCGCTCCAGGATGACCTAAACAACATGGTTGCATGGTTCAATACTATTGATTTGCAGTTTAATGTGAATAAATGTCATTCCATGTCATTTTTTAAACATCGCTCCCCTATCAGTTATACGTATGCAATCAACGGTTCTAATGTGACATCTGTCAGTAGTAAGAAAGATTTAGGTATTATTTTTAATACTGACCTGAATTTTCACTCTCATATTGAAATGATATGTTGCAAAGCTTTAAAAACGCTTGGTTTCGTAATACGTATTTCGAAAGAGTTTAATTTATATTCTTCTATGAAAACAATCTATTGCTCCTTGGTCCGTTCCATACTAGATTATGCATCTGTCCTATGGGACCCTTATACGTTAGCGGAATCCTGTCAATTAGAACGTGTTCAGAGACGATTCCTATCTTGCGCAGCTTTTACATTAAAAATAAAACATCCTCCCCACGACTACTCTATAGTTATGCAGGAATTAGGTCTCGTATCATTAGCAGACAGGAGAGTTAAAACCAACGTAGAGTTTTTGAAAAAACTTCTGGATGGTCGCTTTGATGCTCCCTCACTTCTTGCATTGGTGAATTTCAAGGTCCCTTCCCGCACTATTCGACACCATATCCCATTCTTAGTTTCTACGCACACTACAAATTATGGTAAAAATAATCCTATTGATCGCATTGTAGTAAGGAGAAAATAAGCGGGGACAAATTAGTTGTATAGGGGAGAATATGGTGGTAGGGGAAGGTAAAGGTTATAGGGGAGAGATATGTGTGTTATAATAAATATTGGAGATGATCGCCCTACTACTGTGTTGTACCTAACTGTCTAATGATATTTGAATTACCTACTTTTATTATATAAACATTTAAACACTTACCTCACTGTAGCTGGTTTTCTTTTAAGTGGTTTGTAGTTCTTCGGGGTCGTGTTCGACAGTCGATATCACGATGACAATATATGTATATTATTTTATGTGATCTGTAGGATTTCGTATATAATTTCTACCTGTGACTATCACCATATGCTCTTAAAATCCTTGCATTAGCAATAGGAGTACGTATAGTCTCTCCACCAGCCGAATGTAATTTAATGTGATGAATATTTGGTATTACACATTTATATCTTGAACACAGCTCTTAGAATTCCTACATTCGTGACAGCTAGTACGTATAGTCCAACCGCCGACCGAATGTAATTTAAGTTAATAGAGCACTTACTTCTATATTTGTATTCTAAATACAGCTCTTATAATTTATACATTCGTGACAGCTAGTACATATAGTCCAACCGTCGACCGAATGTAATTTAAGTTAATTGAGCACTTACTTCTATACTTATATTCTAATAAAGCTCTTAGAATCCCTACACTCGTGGCAGCTAGTACATATAGTCCAACCGCTGACCGAATGTAATTTAAGTTAATAGAGCACTTACTTCTATACTTATATTCTAATAAAGCTCTTAGAATCCCTACACTCGTGGCAGCTAGTACGTATAGTCCAACCGCTGACCGAATGTAATTTAAATTAAGAGAGCACTTATTACTATACTTGTGTTCTAAAATATAAATGTGTAGTAACGATGTGACAGACCTATAATATGATGACTGTCACAGAACCTTATGTTTTGAAAGACCAATGGATAGGTTAGTGTAAAAAGATGAACAATTTTAATTTAACTGATAAAGAGACAACCAATTTAGACAGACATACCGGGTGAAGGAATGGTTCAATATACATATATATTGTATACGCATAAACGCACAGTGATGGCTTGGACAGCAGTGGAAAAAGATCGTGATGTTGACTGGCGTGGACCTTGTGCAATAATCTCCGGAATAGACACTGGCGTGGAGTCGATTTTCTGTGGCCCTTATATATGATTTTTGTTGATCCCTTCTTCTTATGCATGGATTAAAGTATTGATATATTTTTATTATTTCGTGTGGTGTGACAACGGTACACCTGGTAATTTATAGTTTTGTTTTGACCGAACGTCTTGATTGGAGAATTATCGAAGGGGACTTGAAGTATATAATATATATATATGTGTACGTACACGTGTGATGTACGTATATGTATACGAAAGAATGCTTTCATGATTTTATAATAAAC